TTCCATACAGTGGAATACCATGCAGCCATAAAAATAATGAGGGGCTGAGATGTAGCTTGGTGGTAGAGTGCTTGCCCAGTTGTGTTAGGCTCTGGGTCTGATTCCCAACACCACAAAAAAGTAAAATAAAAAATAGAAATAATGAGGAAGCTCTCTACATGCTAATAGAATGTAGAAATATCACTAAGATATATATTTTCATTGTTTTTTAAAATAAACTATTTTAGGGGCTGGGGATGTGGCTCAAGTGGTAGCGTGCTCGCCTGGCATGTGAGGGGCGCTGGGTTCGATCCTCAGCACCACATTAAAAAAAATAAAAATAAAGTTGTTGTGTCCACTGGAAAAATAAATAAATAAACTATTTTAGAATAGTTTTGGGTTTACAGAAAAGTTGTGAAGATTATACAGAATTTCTGCAGACCTCATGCCAACTTCCCCTATTTGTTGGAGAATGGTATTAGAAACCAATTACTAGACATTAGGTGTTGCTTGTTGCTATTGGAGAACTGTTGGTTTTAGGCCATTTTAGCTACAGACTAAGGAAGTAGGTGTGGGGATATTAACCTGTGTATATACACAGGTCTACACATTTGTGTTGGGGGAGTACTGGGGATTGAACCCAGGGCCTTGCATATGCTATGTAAGTGCTCTGCCACTGAGCTATACCTCTAGCCCTTTTTAAAATTTTATTGTTTAGACAAGGTCTCAACACCAGTCACCAGGTTGGGCTGGATCTTGCCATCCTCCTACCTTAGCCTCCTCCACACTGGGATTACAGGCACTCACCACTACACTCAGATTATCAATATTTGATATGTAAACATTTGTATCTGTACTAAGCTAAACAGGAGTTCATACTGATATCTCTTATCTAATCTGTTACCACATGGATTATTCAAGCCTCCTCCCATTATTAGTTTGCAATGAGGAGAGAGAGAAAGAGATAGAGGGAGAGGGAAAGAGTTATTTTAAATGAAGAAAGGAGCAACTGTTGGCATAGCTTAGTGGTAGAGCACGCACTTAACAGGCATAAAACCCTGGATTTGAATATCAGCATCCTCCCCCCCCCAAACACACCCACAAAAGAAAGAAAAAAAGTGCCAACAGGTGTGTATGACATCCTACCTTTTGTGCAAAGACGGTGGAAAAATAAGTATATATATTTATATATTTGTATTTGCATAGAGAAACTCTGGAAAGATGTGAAACCATCTACCAGGAGAACTGATGACATGTTTACACAAAATGTGCACACAAATGTTTATAGTGGTGTTATTCAAAAGAGTGGTAGCAGTTGCACACACATAATATGTAAAGCCATAGACTGTACACTTACAAACATTTAAAAAGCTTATGATCTGGACCCAGGCACTGTGGTGCAAGCCTATGATCCCAGTGGCTGGGGAGGCTGAGACAGGAGGATCACAAATTCAAAGCCAGCCTCAGCAAAAGTGAGATGCTAAGCAATTCAGTGAGACCCTGTCTCTAAGTAAAACATACAAAAATAGGGCTGGGGATGTGGCTAAGTGGTCAAGTGCCCCTGAGTTCAAGCCCAGATACAAAAAAAAAAAAAGCGTATGATCTGGGCATGGGGGCCCACTCCTGTAATCCCAGCAACTCCAGAGGCTGAGACTGGAGGATCACAAATTCAAGGCTAGCCTTAGCAACTTATTGAGGCCCTCAGCAATTTAGTAAGACCCTGTCTTAAAAAAAAAAAAAAAAAAAAAAGTTAAAGGGCTGGGGCTGGGGATGTGGCTCAGTGGTAAAGTACACCAGAGTTCAGAGTTTAATCCCCAGGACCACAAAACAAAACAAAATAAAAATTCCACTTGACCACTTGACTTTTTTTTCTTTTTCCAGGCTCTACAGCTGGTGCTGTGTGGCATCTAGTTGTTGTGTCTAAATCTTGCATGATATTCCATGGTTTCCCAGCACATCTGAGACCCTGCTTTCTCAAGAGGCCAGAGGATGAAGCTGTGGAGTTACTCGGAAGAAGGGAAGAGGTAAGGTTGAAGCCATTCTTCTGAGGCACCCCCAATCTTTATAGTAAAATTGGAGGCTGAGGAGAGACCTCTGAGGGAAATGGGGCGGCGGAGGAGCAGCAGCTGTGGAGAATGGCAGTTGAAATTTGGATTGCAAGGGGCCCAGTTGAGTCAACCAGCGTGGCTGTGGAGGAAGCAGACTGCATATTTTAGTGCTTCCCCAGAAGATCTCAGCTGCCCAGTACTGCAAGCAGAAGTCACCCACACCCAGGACAGGAGGAAAAAGCAGAAACGTGGGGCTGCCTGCCTGTGGTTATGAATTATCTGGAGAGACGGAGGTCACAGTGGGAATGGCCTCCAGGGGCAGCTAGGCTGAAAAGAGAGGCAAGAGAAGTCCTGGATGGAGTCACTTTCCACATTTTTCACTGTATTAAAGCCTCATATTTTATTTTCCATATTTTACATTGTATACATAGCTATTGCTAATAATATAGAGTGCCAGTAAACACAAACGCCAATAGGAATTCTGTCATGGCATCTTGCTCATTTGACTTTGTATCATAAGCCTCATGCCATTTGTGTTGTTTAGTTCAATGACTTGATATTTGATTATGTATGTATGTATTTACAATTGAATGTTTTTTCCTTTTCCTTTTTTTTTCTTTCAGTAATAGGGATTGAACTCAGGAGTGCTTTACCTCCAAATTATATCCCAGTCCTTTTTAAAAATTCGAGACAAAGTCTCCCTAAATTGCTGAGGCTGAACTTGAACTTGAAATCCTCCTGCCTCAGCCTCCTGAGTGACTGGGATTACGGCCATAAACCATCACGTTTGGCCAGTGTGACATTTCCATACAACATGTAATGAACAGATCAGGGTAATTGGAGAATTGCATGTAGGCAGAGGTAGGGCACTCCTGGGATCAAGCCCCAGTACCACCACCAAAAAAAATATATATATATCATATGTACCCCGTAAATATATATAATTACCGTGTCAACTAAAAAATAAAATTAAAAAAATTTAAAGAAAAGTGACTCATAGTTCTGATTTGGGAGTTTTCTGCTTCCCTCCCTCCTGGTTTGAAGTTGACATCATTTCATCCTAGGACAAGGGGTCAGCATCTTCCTGGGGTTCTGGGACTGCTGGGACATCTCAAAAGTTCAGAAGACGCAAGCCTGTAATCCCAGTGGCTCCGGAGGTGGAGGCAGGAGGATCTTGATTTCAAAGCCAGCCTCAGCAATAAGTGAGGCACTAAACAACTCTTGAGACCCTGTCTCTAAATAAACACACACACACACACACACACACACACACAAGTTCAAAAGACTGTAGTTTCTAGTTTCAGGACCCCACTGCCCCACCCCCACACTTTTGTTCCTCAGGGAGAGAGCTCCTTGGACAATAGGGAAGATAAAGTGGGGAATCAAGCCTTTAAAAGGCGCTTAGAGAGTGTCATTTATCTGTCACAATGGACAGGAGGAAGGAGAGGAGAGGAAATGACTCCTGGAGAGGCGGTGATGGCCGGTGATGAAGGACCGAGTGGGCGGCTTTCCACACAGGCTGATCAGGTTTGGTCTTTGAAGTCATGAAGGAGGCAGGGGCAGGGCATCTGTCACCAGCTCTAGGAGGAAGGAACTCCTGCAGGCCCCTCAGCATTCTAGAGGAGGACCCAAGTTAGGACACCGTAGGAGGGAACTGGAGCCCAGCCGCCCTGGGAGGCTGAGAAAGTGCACAGAGGCGGGAGGATTTGGGCTCCCCTGGGGAGGAACGGTCTCTAATTCAAGGGAGTGTGGGAGCTGTTTCTACCAATGAATCTGAGACGCTCACACACCCAGACCCCAGTATCCCTGCCAGAGACCGGAGGGGGAAACCACCGAGAGATCTGGAAAGACAGAAGTGGGGTCACAGAGCTGCAGTAGAGCCTGAGTCTTCTTACCATGACCGGAAGCTGGGACTGGGAGGGGGTGCGGGTGCCTCTGCAGCAGAGACTCCAAGGTCAAAAACTAGAGAACCAAGGACCATCCCTCCGGTGAGGGGCAATAGTTTGACGAGCAATACTTTTCCAACAACAATAATGATGATTTGAATCTGAATACCTTTAAGGTGGGAATGAACACTCAGTCCTCACCCCTCCCAACCTCACACCCAGGACGTTCCTTTCACGTCTATGATCTGTCTGCTGGCTGCCGCAGGTGTGGCATTTGGATTTTTGACTTTGAGACATGCAGTGCTACCTTGGGGACCCAAGGGAGAGAGGAGATGACAGAGATGGCTCAAAGCCATGTGGCCCCTAACTTTGCCAGCCCCTTCACAGCCCTTACTGGCAGCTGAAAGTTCCCTATGCCCCCACCACAACGCTGCTCCACCATCCAGCATACTGTACAGTTCTTACCCTCAAAGACTGAAGCAAACTTCACATCCTGGACTACCACAAATGCCAACAGCGCCCCCTAGCCATTGCAACTGCTCATATTTCTAAGCGCTCTCCAGGGTTAAGGTGGTGTTATGGTTTCTATGTGAGGTGTCCCCCAAAAGCTCATGTGAGAGACAATGCAAGAAGGTTCAGAGGGGAAATGATTAGGTTGGGAGAGCCTTAAACTAATCAGTGAATTGATCCTTGATGGGATTAACTGAGTGGTAACTGGAGGCACATGGGGTGTGGCTGGAGGGGGTGGGACATTGGGAGTGTGGGTACATATTTGGGGGTATATATTTGTATCTGGGGAGTGGAGTCTCCCTCCATGTTTTGTGATCACCATGTGAGCTGCTTCTCTCCACCACACTCTTTCGGCCATGATGTTCCACCTCACCTCCAGCCCTGAGGAATGGAGCCAGCCGTCTGTGGAGTCAGACCTCGAATCTGTAGTCACAGCAGTGAAAAAGGTGGCTGAAACAGGTAGTATCTATCACCTTGCCGGGAGGGAGAGAGCTACAGGACTCCTCTTTGGTGTTGGGGAAGTGACCTGAGCCCTGGCCAGTCTTTTCCTGGTATAGAAACACAGACATGGGGAAGCTAGTGGCATGTGCTCTTTATTACAATAACATCCACGGGTGAGGGAAAGGAGAGAGAAGCGATGCCACAGGAGGATTGGGTTGGCAGGCAGGTGAGTGGACAGAAAGCTGGAGGGCACCAAGCAGCTCAGGTGCCTTCCCTATTCTCGGCTGTCTCACACGGGGGGAACAGGAGGAAGCCTAACTTAAGTTTTAATGAAATATACTGGGAGAAAATTTGAGATGGTGGGGTTGATCCAGCTACTAGAAGCTGGTGGGGGACAAAGAACCCCTCCAAGCAGGAAGAGCGACAGTGGAGTAAACACGGCCTCCGGGCCCAGCCGACCAGAGAGCTGAGGGCGGCAAGGGGCACCCCAACCTCCTTGGCCAGCACCCCCAGCTGGCAGAGGGAGGGAGCCAGGCTCCAGCAGAGTGCCTATATCATGGTCATCACCAGCCACTGCAGAGAGAAGAGTAGACCAGCATGTTCAGGGGAGGCGGCCGGGTGGGCGGGGCCAGAGCCTGGTGGGCGGGGCCAGGGGCGGGGACATCCCTTCCCACTCCTCCCCCGTGTACCTGCTCCAAGTCCAAACGAATATAGCCAGTATTCTTGGGATCCTTGCTGAGAAAGTACACTATTTCAGGGAGGAGGCGGAAGAAAGAGGTCGAGGCGGTCAGTGGTTTAAAGGACCCACTTCCAACAGGGCAGAAGGTCAGAAAATGCTTGCTGCCTTCGGGATAAATCCCCTAACCCAGTGCGGAATGAATGATCACAACTCATATACCCTTGCTAGGAGCCAGACCTGGTTCTGAGTGCTCTCCACGGATCACCTCGTTTACTCTGCACCTCCATTCCAAGGGGGCAGTACCATTATCATCCGCATTTGATAGATCAGGAAATGGAGGCACAAAGTTCTAGCGCCAGCAAGGTGAGCTGGCATTGGAACTGGGGCCACGTGCATCTGGTATGGGGGTTGATGGGCAGGTGCTTAACTCACTGTACATGGCCTTCAGTTTCAGGAAGCAGCTGATGAAGTCATCAAAATCCACAAGCATGTTTTCATCTGCATACCTTGCCACCAGCACCTGCAGCACTTTGTTGTTCAGCTTAATGCCTGGGAGAGAGAAGAGGGGGGAAGGGCAGAGTCCAGGGCTCTGGAAAAGGCATCTGTGCTCCCAGTCCCTAACCCTTTCCTGCCCACTGGCCACCTGCTTTCTCAATTGCCGAGCGCATCTCGTAGGAGTTCAAGTTGCCTGATTGGTCCTCGTCACACTCTCGGAAGATCTCCTGAAGACAGATGTGGTAGGGCCATGTACATAGCATTGGTTGAAACCAAGAAATATTGCAGTACAGTTGGTTCATAATAGCTGCTCAAGATCACCAGTCCCCCCACAATGACCTACCCTATGAGCTCCCAATATTTCTATTATCTAGTGATTAAGGCACTAATTCCAAGCATTGCAGGAGGGCTCTGATACAGCAGCTTGGTACTTTCTGTAGGCATCCTTCAAGACTAGCTGGTACCTGAGCCATCCTGGTTATTAAACATTTTGACCAGCTCATACGTTAGCACTCCAAGACCCTCTCCCGTCATATGCCCCTATGGTCAGAGGCTCTAATTCTAGTTTCATTCCTGCTAGTGCCCCACTCCTCTAGAAGACACCCTTTCCTGATTCCAATAGACTGTCCTTCTAGGGCTCTTTACCGTCCATTTCTTGATTTTTTTCCACAGGACCTGGAACTCCAAAATCCCCATCTTTCCAGATTCATCTTTCTGGGTGGGAGTAGTCAAGGATAGCAGAAAAGGGACTGAAGAGTATATCTTGGGGCAGGGAAGCAGAGCGGCTCACTGCAGGGAGCCACTGAATGATAAAAACAGGCATCATTTTTTTGGTACCAGGGATTGAACCCAGAGGTACTTAACCACTGAGTTACCTCTCCTGCCCTTTTTATTGATTTTTTAATTTTGAGACAGGGTCTTGCTATTTGCTTAAGGCCTTGCTCAGTTGCTGAGGCTGGCTTCAAACTTGCGATCCTCCTGCCTTAGCTTCCAGAGCCGCTGGGATTATAGGCATGGGCCACCAAGCCTGGCAGAATGGGTATCTTTTCTGTGGCTGGCCAGAGAGGTTGCCATCTCTGGGCCAGGCTTGGGGGTGGAGGACAGGAGTGAGAGAATGCCAGACAGGTCCACCCACTAGATAGGAAGATACATCCATGAGGCTGATCATACGGCGACAGGTTTCCAAGCCAAAGCCCTTGATCTTGTATTTGACTGTGAGGGAAGGAAGAAAAGATGGAATGAATGGGATGTGGTTGAAGGTGGGGCAAAATATGTGGGGGAAGGGTTGTGAGGGTGGCAGTGGGGACTCACGTTTGAAAGCCGTTCTGTTGAGCAGTTTCTGTAGCTCATATTGGTCTATTTCCTTGTCCTAGGAAAGAGGAGGGGAAACTCCTGCTCTGGCCCCTTGAGCCCCCAGCCACACTCCTTCAGCCTCTACCCATGGCTCTCTCACCTGGCCTGCCACTGTCTCAAACAAATTTATGAAGTCCTCATCTATGTCCTTCTTAGACGGGGTTTCCTGGGGGAAGGGAGTGGGAAAGGAACCCAGTCCAAAAAATTTTTTCATCTCTCCCATGTGTTTCCTTCCAACCTCCAGTCCCACAGCCTCCCCTCACCTCCTGGAGAAGCTCTTCGTAGCTGAATCCATCCAGTTCCCTAGAAGAAAGAGAGTGAAAGCTTAGGGGTTACCAGAAGTCGGGAAGACAGAGGTTTGCAGTGGGGTCTGGGGAAGGTCATGTTGCATATTCAAAGCAACATGGAACAGCTCAGAAGGATCTAGATTCTAGTTCTAGTTCTGGTTCTACTATTAACTGAGACTTCACCTCCTAATGCTTCAGTTTTCCTGACTATAAAATAGGGACAATGTAGAGGAGAACCAGACAACAGCTCCACAAGCTTGATATCCTTCAGTTCTTGCTCAGGGGATCTAGAAGCAGTGAGGTATGGACCCTTACCAAGACTGGCTGTGCTTTTCAGTGAAGACCCGCAGCAGGAAGTCGGCCTCTTTGTGTGGCTCAAAGGTAGAGGGGACAATGATGTATTGTCCTGGAGGCAGCCGGAGGTGGTTGCTCACCTCCCGTGAGTTGATGAAGGTCTCTGAGAAGCCATTGTCCTGATACTTCTTGAAGAAATCCTTCTTCAAGTGCACATCCTGGACGTTCTGAAACTATATGTGCCCTGGAGGTGGGTGCAGGACTGGCATGGGAGAGCAGAGAGAGAGGGTCCCCCAAAGCAAGCAGCCTGATGGGCAGTGTTGGGAGTAGGTATCAACACCAACCAACCTGTTCTGGACATGGCCCAAAGACCATGCAACCCTGGTGTGGTCTCTTCTATCCCTGACTCCCACCAGGGCCTGAAGGGGCTGGATCCTAACCCAGTGTTTCTCAGAGCATGTTACCAAATCCCACCCTTTGACAATACACATGCAGGAGGCAGGGGTTGCTGCCCAGGAACAAGCCCCATGTCTTCTTCTGTACCTCTTTTGGGACCTGGGAAGGAAACAGAGAGGAGGTTCAGATTTTGAGAGTGATAAGGTCTGCAAAAGCCAGGTAGAGGGTGTGTTTATGTGTGTATGTATGTATGTATTTGGGGGGCTCTGATACCATTAAGAATCTATTGTTGGGTTGGGGATATAGCTCAGTTGCTTGCCTCACATGCACAAGGCCCTGGGTTCAATCCTCAGCACCGCACACACACACACACACACACACACAAAGAATCTATTGTATTTAGCTGGGTGCCACGGTGCCCACCTGTAATCCCATTGGCTTTGGAGGCTGAGGCAAGGAGGATCACGAGTTCAAAACCAGCCTCAGCAACTTAGCAAGGCCTTAAGTAACTCAGTGAGGCCCTAAGCAACTCAGCAAGACCCTGTCTCTAAATAAAGTATAAAAAAGGGCTGGGGATAGGGCTTAGTGGTTAGTGCCCCTGAGTTCAATGCCTGGTACCAAAAAACAAAACAAATAAAAACATCCATCACATTTGGATTGTGAAATACAGTTACATAATGTTTTCCCAAGGTAGATTTTGTGTGTGTGTGTATGCGTATGTGTGTGTGTGTGTGTTGCTGAGGATTGAACCCAGGGTCTGAGCATGCTAGGCAAGTGTTTACCACTGAGCTGTATGCTTGTTTTTGAGACAAAGTCTTGAAAATGTGGATTCAAGTGATCCTGCCACCTCAGCCTCCTGAGTAGCAGATGGCACATGCCACCACACCCAGCTCCAAATTTATAAATTTGTAAAAAGGTGAGTTAAATCAAGTTAAATTCAGTAGGATTCCAGGGGCAGCGGCATGTGCCTATAATCCCATGTACTCAGGAGGCTGAGGCAAGAGGATTGTGAGTTCAAAGCCAGCCTCAGCAAAAGTGAGGCGCTAAGCAACTCACTGAGACCCTGTCTCTAAATAAAATACCAAATTGTGGTTTGTATACATAGTGGATGGTACAAAATAGTGGATGTGGCTCAGTGGTCGAACGCCACTGAGTTCAATCCCTGTATCCCCCCATCAAAATTAATTAATTAAAATCTGTGAAAAGAAAACAGCAGCCAGAGAGCCATGGCTCTGGGGCGATGGGAACCTGTGCAGTTGGGCTGTGACCCTGAAGAAGGGCCTTCAAGGGAGGAGGCCAGAGGTGAGGGAGCAAGAGTAGCCTGACCCGCAGGGCACCCACTGGGAAGACGACAAAGCCAATGGTGTGCAGCTGCATTCCCTGGGGCCGCGCATGCCGCCAGTTCTTCTGCATCAGGGCCACCAGGCAGGTGCAGACTTGGTCTCCCTCAACGTCCTCCTCCGGGTCATCCTCCTCTGGTAGATAGATCTTAAACTGGGGGTTGGTCCAGAATGTGTCTGCGGAGGAAGTGGGTCGGATGGTTTTGCTGGGACAGTGCCTGCCTCCCCTACTGGCAGATGTTGGGATCGATTGGATTGACCCCTGACCTCATGCACCCTGGCCCCGTGACCTTGCGCCCCGGGCCTGGGTTAGTGGTGAGTGTGTCCCACTGCTCGCTCCCTGTCCCCTGAGGCCCCTCACCTACCAGGGTGGTTCCTGCAGCCCCCCGCAGTGCTGCCCCTCCTCCAGCTGCCCTCGTAGAAGGTGGTGTGCCAGGAGCGCTTGTGGTCCCCAGAGAGCGCATCCGGGGTGAGGTTGCAGATCTCCAGGAGCGTGAAGTTGTTCATGAAGTCGTAGTAGGATATCCTGCAGGAGGGTGTCAGTGCATACCCACACCCGTGAGCACGGAGGCCCCCACAACCTCCCCACTGGAGGCACAGGGCGGAGGGAGGAGGGGAGCCAAGGGATGGGGCCCGGGGGAGTCAGGAGTGGACCAGAGACAAGCTCACCAGAACTCCCCGTCCTCCTTCTTGTTCAGCAGCTGCACCCGGAGTTTGGAATCCACCTCCTTCCACTCTCTGGACCTGCAGGAGAGAAGGCGGCAGTAGGAGCCAGGTGGGCCAGCCTCCCCACTGGACTCCCTCCCCTACCCCTGAAGGTCTGCCTCCCCGGGTCTTGAGTCAGGAGGATGGAGTACCTTCAGGGAGGGGCTTGCCCTGGCACACAGTCAGTCCCTCACTGTCTTACTCCTGGGCCTGCTGTGACCCCCATCCCCCACCTGGGTCACGGGCACCTACTCGTCACTCCAGGCTCCATTCCACTCAACCCGGCCCCAGGGATTCTGGATCCGAATCAGTGTTTCCATCCTGCCCTTGAAGCGGATCTGGGAGAGGCATGACAGGGCAGGGGCACGGGTTAGGAGAGAGGTGCCTTCCTTCCTGCTATCCTCAGGGTGGGGCTGGTTGCCAGGACTCACATCCTCAAGGCCAGTCACTGCATAAGCATGTCCTCTCACCAGCATTCTATGAGTCATGGATTCCATCTCACTGTCACTAGTGACCTACAGAGCAGAGGGGAAGAAAAGGCATTCAGGATCTGGACCGGGGCACCCCAAGAAAGGTGAGAACTCTCTGGGTTCTTTTTTTTTTTTTTTTTGGTGCAGGGAATTGAACTCAAGGGTGCTTTATCACTGAGCCACATCCCCAGCGCTTTATAATTTATTTTAATTTTTTATTTTGAGAAAAGTTCTTGCTAAGTTGCTTAGGGCCTCAATAATTTGCTGAGACTGGTCTTGAACTTGTGATCCTCCTGCCTCAGCCTCCTGAGTCGCTGGGATTACAGGCGTGCCCCACCATGCCTGGCCCTTGGGTTCTTTTTTTTTTTTTTTCTTTAAAATTAAACTTTGTATTTTGAAGTAATTGTAGATTCACATACGGTTGTAAGAAATAATACACAGAGATAGAGTAACATCTTACAAAACTAGACAATGTCAAAACCAGAATGTTGACCTTGATGCAATCCATTAACCTTGCACGCTTTCCCTAGTTTTATTAGCTTTCACTGAGTATGTTCTGTGCAGTTTTCTCACATGTGTGGTTTGGTGTGCCCACCACCATAGTCAAGTACTTATTCTGTACAGTCAAGTAGAGAACATTTCCCTCACTATAAGCAGCCCTTATGTTGCTTATAAACACACCCATCTCTCCTTCCCTAGCCAACAAGGATCAAGAACTTATTCTCCAGTTCTAATATTTTATCATTTCAAGAATGTCAAATAAATGGGGCTGGATGTGGTTGCTGTGTAATCCAGCAACTTTAGCAACTTGGGAAGCTGAGGCAGGAAGATCACAAGATTTAGGCCAGCCTCAGAAACTTAGTGAGACCCTGACTCAATATAAAAAAAATAATAATAAAAAGGATTGAGGAAGTAGCTTGGTGGTAAAGTGCCCTTGAGTTCAATTCCCAGTGGGGAAAAAAAAAGAATGTCATGTAATGGAATCACAGGATCAGTGTGTGACCTTCTGGAGTTGACTTGTTTTCATTCAGCTAATGCCCTAGAGAGCCAGCTTAGCTGTTACAGCTATCAATAGTTTGTTTCTTTTTATGGCTGAGTAGTATTTCATGGTGTGTAATCATCACAGGTTATCTAGCCATTTACCTGCTGAAGGACTAGTTTGATTGGCTTTTTTACTACTATGAATAAAGTTACCATAAGCATTTGGGTAGGGGGCTTTGTGTGGACCCCAAATCTTAATTTCTCTGTGATAAATGACCAAGAATACAATTGCTGGGTCATATGGTAGCACTCTGGGCTCATTACAAAAAATAAGTATTTGTTGGGTGCCTATTGGATGGTAGGTCTTGTCTAAAGTCCCAGGGTCCAGCAGTGGATGATGACACAAATAAGGTCCCTGCCCACATGCAATGTGAGCACTGTGTGAAGATGGACTGTGAATAGATACATAGGTAAGCAAGACATTTCAGGTCACAATAAAGGTTAAAGAAGAAAATCAGAACAAAGTAGAAGCCTTGCGTGGTGGCGCATGCCTGTAATCCCAGTAGCTCAGGAGCCTGAGGCAGGAGGATCGAAAGTTCAAGACCAGCCTCATTAACTTAATGAGGCCCTAAGCAACTCAGTGAAAGCCTGTCTCAAACAACAACAACAACAACAACAAAACTTGGCGAGGCCTAAGCAACTCAGCAAGACTCTGTCTCTAAATAAAAAAATCAAGGCTGGGGATATAGCTCAGTTGGTAGAGAGCTTGCATTGCATGCACAAGGCCCTGCGTTCAATCCCCAGCACCGCCCCTCCCTCCCCAAAAATCAAAAGGTCTGGGGATGTGGTTCAGTGGTTGAGCACCCCTGGGTTCAATCCCTGGCGGCCCCCTAAAACAAAAACAAAGTAGAAAGTACATCAACTGGGAGTCATGGAAGGCTGACTGGAGAAGGGGACAGCTGAACTGAAAGGGGAGTGAGAAGCTATACCTACAAATAGCTGGGGAAATAGCTTTCTAGGTGAAAGCAGCAACAGGTGCAAACGCCCTGAGGCAGGCCCAAGCTTGGCTTACTTCAATGGAGCAGCCCATGAGGGAGGATCGATCCACCGCCTTCCTAAAGAGCCTCAGCAGGTTATCAGGGGGCCTCAAGAGATTGAGGCTCTGGGCCACTCCACCGGTGAAGTCCTCAAAGCCCTCCGTGGTGCTGCCCCCTGCCAGTGCTTCGTAGGACCCGCTCAGCCTTTGGGTACAGAGATGGAAGTGTGAGGACTTGGGGAGGGAGGAGAGGGATGCCCTGCGCTCCACACCACACCCGGCCTCTTTCTCTGCCTGAAGCAGCCCACTGTAGGGCGGCCGGCGGGCAGGGCAAGCCCCCCGTGGGCCCGGGCACTTACTTGGCGTACGCCTTCTCCAGCAGGGCGCTCCAGAACTCGGTGCGCTCTGAGGAGTGCACGAACACCAACTTGGCGTTCTTGGTGGGCAGCCGGTCATCCACCACCACGTCCATCCACTGCCCAAACTGCCAGATCTGTGGGCACCAAGGTGGGCCTCAGTGGGGCAGGGGCATCTCTCAGCCCCCGGTCCCCAGCGCGCGCATACATACATACACACACACACACACACACACACACACACACACACACGCGCGCGCGCGCCACGTGGGAACCCTGTCACCTGAGCGCCTCCTGGTGGCCAGGCCCAGTAACACATCAGCCACGGAGCCCCACTCCCTGCAAAGACTGAACAGTGGGGGGGAAGACCTAGAAAATCTTGAATCCCGACCCCCCAGCCTCCTCCCCGTCCTGCCTGGTCTCCAGGTGACCCCATCCCCTCTTGACCGAAGGGCCTCCTCTAAAAATAGGCAGCTTTGCTAGGATCTCTGAGATCTTAAAATCTCCTACTACTATTCTTAGAAATATTTTATGACATGGGTAATTGTCCAAATGTTACTAAGGGACAGATCACAAACATTAAGTGACGGAGATTACTGACATCACACACACACACACACACACACACACACACACACCGCATACACAAATAATGAGGAGGAGAGAAAGAGAAGGGAGAAGAACCATGAATTCCTAACTATTTTCTTTGGGGGCTTAAACAATCAGCCGACGTGATTTCTTTCGGGAACAGTTTCACTTCTCTGATAATGAGGCCAAAAGCCATCCCAGTCATGTTATTTTTGAAAAAGAAAATAAAAGCCCACTATTCAGGAGGCTGAGGCAGGAGGGTCATCAGTTAGAGGCCAACCTGGACAACTTAGCAAGACCCCAAAAGAAAAAAATAAGAGAAATGTCTGGATCTGTAGCCCAGTGGTAAAGTCCAACCCCCAGACCATAATAAAATAAATATGCACCTACGAATTCTCTCTCCTTCGCTCCCCCCCGCCCCCACAAAGCAACTCTGGTTCTCACACTGCTCCTCACCTGAAAATGGAAGATGCCCGCATAGTTTTTCCTGAAGCTCTGTTCCCTGGGCACCACTCGGTACAGCAGTTTGGGATACGTGGTGAGGGAGCCAATGGCGGCCAGCAGCCAGCAGTCCCCTGAAAGGCAGGCAGGGCTTTTCCCCCTGAGCACCCACATGTGTGGGTGGATCCCCGAGCCCCTGCCCTGGGGGAGCAGGAACCTGGCCTTGGCACCTCGCTCCCAGCAGAGCCGCCCTTCCTCGGCCCCCCGTTCTGTTTTGGGAGACAGTGACAAACTGGAGCCCTAAGCTTGTGTCTGGGGGAGTTCCGGGGGAGGTGGTTTTGTTCTCGGATCTTGCTCCCCTCCCTGGGACCTGCTTTCTTTGGGAGAGAGTCAACACACTCCTGTCCCCCCACCACAGCCAGTCTCCCCTCCCACTGCTCCCTCCCACCCCATGAGCACACTGGTGTAGTGACAAAGGTTCCCAGATGTCTCTCCCTCGTGTCACCCTCATTCTATGGAGACCCGGAGGCTCCATCTGTACGCCAGTGAAGTCCCCAGGACTAGCTGTGCATGGGGCCCAAGGGCAGTGTGTGTGGCTTGAGGCTTGATTTAAATGGAGCCTGTGCGAGGACAGCACCATGAGTCACCCACTGCCATCTGCCTCTCGGGTTCAGCCCTCATTAGTGGGCCAGGAAGCAGGTGCCTGGGTGGGCCCCCAGGGCCAGGCTGAGCTGAGGGCACCGGCAGAGCTCTGTGATTACCAGTGACCTCCCAGCTTCCTGGAGGGAGGCAGAGGGCAGGAAGGAATGTAAGTGTGCCGCAGACCCACCAGCACAAGGGTCTCCTCCTAGAACCAATGCCCCTGCAGCCCAACGAGCCACAGAGGCAGCCGTGGGGCCCGAGGTCTCTTTGGACTCTACCATGGCCACACACCCCCTTTTCTCTGCCACAAGTCAGGACAGACTTCATTCCTAGGGGAAGCCAATCCTGGTTTCATCCCTAAAGGGGCAACAGGGGGTTGGAGGAAACTGAGGAACAGGACCAGGCTTAGGAAGGAAGACCTGTCCATGCAGCCTGTGGGACATGGGTCAGATGAAGTCAGTTGCTCTCTTATTTGATGCCCTGGATTGAGTAGGTTGTAGCACAGGTTTGAAAACCTGTCCACAAAAGTTTGGCTCTCCTTCCCTCAAAAGATGGTGCCTAATTCTCATCCTCTTGAATGTGTACCAGACTCAGGGCTTGCTTCTAATGAATGGAAGTCACACTGTGTGACTCCTGAGACTAGATCCTAAGAGAGGCTAAGGTCCCTCCTTAGCCTCTCTTGGATCACTAACTTTGATCCCATGCTGTGTGGACTCTCAAGCAAACCCAGAGGAGCCAAATAGCAAGGGACAGAGGCCTCCTGCCAATAGCCAGTAAGGCACTGAGCCTCCTGCTCAGTGAGGGCGCCATCTTGGAAGCAGACCACCAGACTCAGGGAACCCTCAGAGGAACACAGCAAAGCTGAGGACCTCAAGAGTGGCCCACTGAGAGCCGCTTAGCCACGCTGCCTTGGAATTCCTGACTCACAGAAACCTTGAGATAAGAAATGCCTCTTGATGTTTTTAACTCACTAAGTGTTGAATAGTTCATTATTATCAATACAGCACCCCGACAGACCCCCCAAATCCAGAATGCAGTAGGTATCCCCACCAACCCTCTCCCCGGCCTCTCTGCAGTGGAGACCAGCTTCCCCCTGCTCCCCACTCACCGAGTACCCCTTGGCAGATGTCTGTGGGAGAGACCCCATTTGCGATGAACTGGGGGTTGCTTGCAATATCCTGCAGTGAAGGAACAAAGGTGTCAGGGGGCCCAGGACACCTGCTGCCTGCCGCCCTCACACCTTTACTAGGGACTGGTGTTCCCTCCAAGTTCCAGGGGGATAGATGAGAGGAGGGAGGGGGAGGTGCAGGACCCACAGGACATGGCTAGGCTGGGGTAGCGGAGCTTGGTGAGTGACCACTCAAGGGTAACCTGTGGCCGAAGTGCATTCAGAACTGTCCCCAGCTCTGATGGAGGTGGAACCCAGGGGTCAGGATAAGGTGGTGTCAGGGATTGGAGATGATAAAAGTCCCCTCCCATGAGCCCACACCTCCCCCCACAGCGCCCACCTTGGGCCGCTGCCACAAGATGTTCTGAACACTCCTGGAGTTGGGGCCCAGATCCTTGAAGCCCAGGGAACTGGGTACTGCAGGGAATATGGGGTCTTCAAACAACTCTCCCATGCTAAGGCAGTCTGCTTGCAGTTCCTCAAAGTCCTGGTTTCTGTAGTTTTGGGCATTGTTGTGTTGGCCGAGTCCCTTGGCCTTGAGTCGGTTATGGCTTATGTGGGCAAACATGCCCTTATTAATAAAATCTGTGTCTGCTCAATAATAAAAAGACAGATAATCTAATTATAAATGGAATTGGTATTTTTTTCAGAAGATATACAAATGATCAACAGTCACATGAAAAAAAGCTCAGCAACATTCATCATCGGGGAAACACTGAGTCAAGACCACAGTGAGAGCCGGGCGCCGTGACGCACTCCTGTAATCCTAGCAGCTTGGGAGGCTGAGGCAGGAGGATAGCAAGTTCAAAGCCAGCCTCAGCAAAGGTAAGGCGCTAAGCAACTCAGTGAGACCCTGTCTCTAAATAAAATCAAAATAGGGCTGGGGATGTGGCTCAGTGGTTGAGTGCCCCTGAGTTCAATCCCCCTGCTCCTCCCCAAAAAAACCCCACAGTGAGGTATAACCTCACGCCCACCAGGTGGCTGTGATAGAAGTGCTGGTGAGGACTTGGAGAAACCGGAACCTAGTGCGCTGCCAGTGGCAATGGAAATGATGCAGCCCCTTTGATTTTACTTATTTACTTGCTTATTTGTTTATTTTTTTGTGGTGTTGGAGATCAAATCTGGGGCATCCATCTTGCTAGGCCAGAACTCTTACCACGCACCTGTCTCCAAGGTGGCCACTCAGAAAAACAGCCTGGCTGTTTCTCCAACAGTGAATCATAGAGCTGCCGTATGACCCAGCAAATCCACTTCTACCACGTGCCCAAGAGAGATGAAAATAAATGTCCACACCAAAATCTGTTCACGAATGTTCATGGTAGCATTATTCATAATAGCTAAAAAGTGGGGAAAAAAACTCCAAAAAATGATCCCTCAGTTGATGAATGGACAAACAAAACATGCATTATACATGTAATAAACAAACAAAAAAACCAAATGAAGTAGGGACATATGCTACAACATGGATGAACCTTAGGAACATGCTAAACCAATTAGATGGGATGGTGCTCGCCTGTTGTCCCAGGGATTCGGGAGGCTGAGACAGGAGGATCCAAAGTTGGAAGCCAGCCTGGGCAACTGAGTCTCAAAATAAAATATTTTAGAAAAGGCTGGGGATGTAATTCTGTGAGAGAACGTCTGTCTAGCATGCTCAAGGACATGGGTTCAACCCCTGGTCCCACAAAATAAAAAACAAAAGCAAAAAATGCTGAACAAAAGAGGCCAGTCCACAAAAACTTCATATCGTGTGATTCCATGTAGACAGACCGTGTGAAATAGGCCTGGGGTGTGGCTCAGGGGCAGAGGCCTGCCTAGCATGTGGCAAGCCCTGGGTTCAATAATCCCCAGTACTGAAAGAGAGAGAGAGAGAGAGAGAGAGAGAGAGAGAGAGAGAGAGAGAGAGAGAAAGTCCAAAATAGGCAAGTTTCTGTAGACACAGAAATTACAGAAAAGAGGAGTTCAAGCAGAAAGAAATGATAGTGAGTGGGAAATACTAATTACTTTGATTTGAGCAGTGCACATTGGTGCGTTGAAATGACACAATAAACCCCATTAATGTATACAGTTAATATGTTAATAAAAATTTTAAACAAAAAACAAAGAAGAAAAGAAAGTAGATTAGTGATAGGGCTTAGGAGGGCAGGGGGGCTGCTGCTGCTGGTTTCTTTTGGAAGGTAATGAAGATGATGTAAAATCGACTGTGGTGATGGACGTGTAACTGTAAACACTGGTCTCTTAGTATCCACAGGGCATGGGTTCCAGGACCCCGTGCCCATATCAGAATCAGAAGATGTTCAAGTACCTTATATAAAATGGCATAATCTTCATATAATCTACACACATCCTCCCCTATGCTTTTGTTTGTGTGTGTGTGTGTCGGGGGGGGGGTACTGGGGATGAGACCCAGGGCCTTACATATGCTAGGCAAGCACTCTACCACTGAGCCACATCCACGGCCTTTTTAATTTTTTCTGTTGAGACAGGGTCTCACTAAATTTCTCAGGCTGGTTTAAATTTGTAACTCTCCTGCCTCAGCCTGCGTCACTGGGATTACAAACATGTGCCACCACACCCAGTCTACTGCTTCCTTTGCATGGATTTAGTGTAAGTACTCTGTGTGACAAATTTATTTTGGTTTTTGGAATTTTCTGTAGTTTTTTCCCTTTAATATTTTCAACCTGGGGTTTGTCGAATCTGTGAAAGTGAAACCCGTGTATATAAAAAATTGTGTATTGAAAGACAGTGGGTTGTACACTTATCTTTCCCCTTGTGCAGGAGATTGAATCCAGGGATGAACCACTGAGCTATATCCTCAATCTCTTTAATTTTGTTTTGAAACGGTCTTGCTAACTTGCTGAGGCAGACCTTGAACTTGAGAGCCTCCTGTCTTAGCCTCCTGAGTAGCTGAAATTACAGGGGTGTGCCATCATACCCACAAGAGTTGTAGTTAAATGGGTAAACTGTACAGCATATGAATTATATCTCAATAAAATTGTTTAAAAAATTGCTTCCACAACTACTTTTCTGTGTGTGTGTGTGTTTTATTTATTTTTTTGAGACAGTGTCGACAAATTGCTAAGGCTGGCTTCAAACCTGAGATCCTCCTGTTTTAGCTTCCTGAGCCACTGGGATTACAGGCGTGCACCACCATGCTTGGCTAACCATATACATATTTAACTTTTCATATTTGGGAAATGATTACATTACTATTTCTTGATTTTTAACGTTTGGTGAATGCTCTACCACTGAGCTACACCCGCGAACCCTGAAATGCTGTGATGATTGTCAAACAGCATTTTGAACTGGAAATTAGGGATTATAGCTTCTACTGCTCATCAAATCTTCCTGTGACTGCTAACTTTATTATGGGATCACATACACATAAAATGAGCTATTTGAAAAAGGAAAAAAGAAATGGCCTCAAACACAGAGTTTGTGGGGAGAGTAGAAATAATGGTGTATAGAGAGGGTGGGAGGGCAGAGGGGAAGGGTTGCTGGGGACAGGGTGGGTGGATGGGGGAGATTCCAAATTAGGCAATGGCCTAGTGGGGAGTGGGGAGCCTTAGAGTAAGTCAGGTGGTTGGGGACCCAGGGTGCCCTGCCCACAGCTCTGCCACCAAAAACCACAACGTGCTTATGTCCCACCCATATGCACATGCGCTGCACACCATGCCCACGCATACGCATGTGCACCCCTCCACCCGACCCTTCTCCCTGTCACCTGTAGCACTCAGCGGAAGGGAAGGGGTGGGGCAGAGAGGGGAGTGGAGGAGGAGGAGGAAGAGGAGGTGAGACCCCAGGGCAGCAATTGGCTGTGAATCTCAGGCCCCACCCATGCAGGTACTGACCCCCTCAGCCTCCCCAAGTTTTCAGCAGGGTGCAGAACAGTGTGGGGCTGGGGGCTGGGAGGGTTCAGAGTGAGGAGAGAAGGGGCAGCTACAGAGGGGGGCTGGAGGACCCCGTGATTGTCAGAGGTGAGCCCCCAACAGAGGGAGGAGCAGGCGTCTCCGTTTAACACAACAGAGCTTGACTCCAGACGCAGTGGCAGTGAGATGGGTCCCTGGAAGGCCCTGATCACCAAGAGAGGGAGCATAGGCGTACCCCAGGTCACAGAGCACCAGGCCAGTGTCTAAAAAAAGACTGACTGCAGGCCATTAATCTCTACTGCCTTGGCTTCTCCATCTTCAGAATGGGTGATAGCCTAAGGCATCTGTAGTGGGTTTGGGGCACAAAGCATATTCAATTTTTTTTTTTTTTGGTGCCAGGGATTGAACCCAGGGGCACATAACCACAGAGCAACATCCCCAGCCTTTTTATATTTAGAGACAGGGTCTCGCCAAGTTGCCTAGGGCCTTGCTAAGTTGCTGAGGCTGGCTTTGAACTTACGATCCTCCTGCCTCAGTCTCCCTGGGATTATGGACCCGGCTAAAAAAGTTAACTTTAAAGAGCAAAAGTCATTTGATAACCTAGGCCAGGAGAATAATTTCCTAACCTGCCCCTTTCTTTAAGCGTCCTCCCTCCCTACTGGTTCCTCACAGGCTTGGTTGAGATTTTCTTAAATGCAAACTGACTGTAGCTACTCCCCTTACCTGCCCAGTCCTTTAAATGGCTCGCCTCTTGTTAGCATGACAAACCCAAACCAGGCTGCCACTTTCTTGCCCAGCACCTTGGTGTCCAGGCTGCTTTTGTCCCTCAATGACATTGGACTGTTCCCACTGCTGTGCCTCTGCCTGGTCTCATCCCTGATCCTGTGCATACACTGTGTACCCCGGGAAGAGCCCTGCTTGGCCTCCAGTCCCTGCTCCATTCAGCCCCCACCCTCAACTCTGTGGAGCCTCCACTGATGTAAGCAGAGCTTGGGGCTGCTTAGTCTAACACTTTCTTTCATTTATTTTTATTTTTTTATTCTTTTTAGATATACATGACAGCAGAGTGTATTTTGACGTACATACACAGGGTATAACTTCCCATTCTTGTGGTTGTACAGGAGGTGGGGTCGCACTGGTCGTGTATTCGTATATGAACATGGGAAAGTTATGTTGATTAATTCTACTGTCTTTCCTATTCCCATCCCTGCTCCCTTCCCTTCCCTTCATTTCCCTTTGTCTAATCCAACTAACTTCTATCCCCCTCCCTTATCGTGTGTTAGCATCTGCATATCAGGGAGAATATTCAATCTTTGGTTTTAGGAATTGACTTATTTCACTTAGCATGATAGTCTCCAGTTCCATCCATTTACCAGCAAATGCTATAATTTCATTTTTCTTTATGGCTAAGTAATATTCCATTGTGTATATATACCGCATTTTCTGTATTCATTCATCTGTTGAAGGTTGGTTCCATAGCTTGGCTATGATAATGTTTTTTTTCCAAATGACACTCAATACTGCCTGCCAGCTCTGAGTTGACCTGTCTGATCCCCTGGAAGCCTGTAAGTTCTCAAAGGTGGAGGTTGAGTCACCTTGTACCCCACTGGGTTTCCTCTACATCATCTAACACTTGGTTTCCCAGCAGGGGCAGAAAAATGCTTTCAATGAATGAATGAACCATTGCCTTGCTTTGCGAAGTATTGTTTGTTTGCTTGTTTGTTTTTGTACTGGGCATTGAACCCAGAGCTACCTCTTTGGCCTTTTTATTTTTTATTTTGAGAAAGGGTCTCACCAAGTTGTTGAGGGTCTTGCTAAATTGCTGAGGCTGGCCTCAAACTTTTGATCCTCCTGCCCCAGCCTCCCACATTGCTGGCATTACAGGCGTGTGACACTGCACTGGCTCTAGTGGTTTTTGGTCTGCGTTTTCTCTCTCTTGCTGGCTCTCACCCCCTGTCCTGCTAGTGTCTGGCATGCTACATATTTTGTTTATCCTTGTGTCCCTCATGAAGGAAGATCATGAGAGAGCAGGGAATTTTGGTCCATTTTGTTTGCTTCTGTATTTTGCACATAGTAGGTGATCAATAAGTGTTTTGAATGATTTCTCTAAGCAGTTCTGGAAGGAAGAAATTTATGCTTCTTAGTGTCTCCCATAGGAAGGGTCTAATAACAAGGCTGTGAAGGGATACATGGGGATGTGGCTCATTCTTGGACTCCCCATTCCATTGGGGAGCCCCTTCACAAGAACATCCTGGAGCAGCACTGGAATCCCCTGGAACACTCAGGCTCTTACCCAGCACTGTCCCTGTGCTGACGCCTGGACTGGGGATCAAAAAGACCTGGGCTCAGACTAGGGAAGCCAGAGTTGGTGTGAGGATGAGCAGGTTCCCGATCATAGCACATAGGTCTCTACAGGGTCCCTTTTGGTGGTCCCTGGAGCCTCCTGGTCCC